TTAAATATTAGTAAATGAAATGACACATTGAAAAATTTTCTTAGGTTAGTATTACACCTATTCTTTGAAGTTATGAGGTGTTATTTGAGGTTTCTGAGATACAATCCCAACCTAGGTCTTCCCAATCTATAAGAGTATAAGATTCTACATGAGAATCCTAGAAATTTTACTTCCTTTGTTTTTCAGTACTAATTAGTAGTGATCAAAACCATAACCTGTTTATCGACAGTCTTTCCCCTTTTATTCCTTACTTTTCCAGCGGCAGTAGTTTGAATGCTATGACCAAAACCACAGTTTCTTACCTCAAGCTTCCAACTAAACCACATGTAACAATCATCCTCCCAACTGTTTTTATGGTTTCCCATAAACTAAATAACACTCCCATTTGCAAAAGTATAACAATAGGCCTCCCCTGTCTATACTTCAAACCTGCCAATCTTCTTTAAGTGGTTGCTAAAATCCCTGAGTCTTCATGTCCAATTGAACCATAATTCTAGTCCATAAACCATCCTTCCCCCTACTTACATTGTACTGCCATTTTTCCACTATAAGCATTATTAAACAACTGAACCCTCCTTATGGCTACGCTAACCCCATAATGGGGACAACAAATTTGATATAGACTTTTTCCCTTTTTAGATAACTTAAGCTAGACATTTTATTTACCAAACAACCCTAAACCCTAGACAAAAGTGACAACAAACATATCCTTTTCTCCCAGTTCATAAAATGTAATCTACCATCCTTGTTCAAAGAAACCCCTATTGCAAATTCCCCAAACTCTTAGCCAGTGATGCTACGATAATAAAAAACAAGTTTATAGAATTAGAAGGCAAACTTCAGAGAGTAACCTTAATGAGCTTAAATCTCTACTTTCCCAAAGGGATCTAAACAAATTTTGATGGTAATAGAAATCCACACTTCTTTTTATTGGGTAGGAAATATAACGTGCACTTCTTTCAACAACAAAAAACAAAACAAAAAAAAACTTCAAAGATCCAAGCCAAATGCTTTGAGCCTTATGCCAGCCTAGCCATGCAAGGCGTCACCTCAAGCACTCACCAATTTGACAGAGATAAGAATAATTTTGTGAGCAAGGGATAATTAAATCCCCCCACCCCTCTGTTAGGTTTCAAGATAAAAACAAAAAGACTAACCTCACTAGGATCTGTGTGGGCAAGAATAGCAGTCAAAGGGTCATCCCTTTTCAATCGGCTCTCCTCATTAGGCATTATAGCATCCTTCAATGGACATTCACGATCGCCACTTTGGTGACCAAATGCTCCACACCTTACGCACTTCACATTGCGCACTTCAACTCCAAATGGCTTTGCCCTCGTAGGGACACCAGTCTCCATCCTTTGGAAAAATTATGATTATTATTATCATCATCAAAACAATAGAGTAGTATCAACTTGACTGTAGAAATTGTAATGTAACTGTGGGCAACAATTGCAAATAATAAAGCATGTCTTCCAGGCTCAAAGATACCCTTACATGCACCAACTGTGAGCCTCGGTCACTTTCAATTTCAATAGAAATAGACACTAAGAGAAACCAACCATGGTACAGAGAGAGACAACTGCATCTGTGAGGAAAGAGAAATCTCAGTTCGAGATCTCAACTCCTTTTAATAATAAAATGCATAAGACAATATATTAGTCATAGATATGCTTGACTCAAAAGAGTTGCATAACAAATTTTGTTGATTCTGACTAAAGTGATGTAACAGCTTCTTGTATGCATTTCTAGAATCACAACCCATCAACTTTATACTTTTAAACAGTCCAGCAAGGACTCCGAGGTATTCAGTTAAAGTCTGGGTTATGAAGTTGATGGATCACAACACAAGAAACTGAGCCAAACTCTGAAAATGCCTATACTGAGATAAAACCAAATCTAAGAATCTTATAATCTAATTTCCTAAAAGAATTGGCAAGTTATCAATGCAACCCAAAGTGCGTGAAAGATCATTGTCATAACTAAGCCCCTTTTCTTCTCAGCATCTTAATGTATTTCAATCCGGAAACTATAAAGTGACATAAAAACATTGCATCTTACTGTAAAGGCAGCAACAGGCCCACCTTGGAGCATTTTTCAAAATTTCAAATTCTTGTTCCGTTGGTAAAGGACGGCCAAACACGTCTTTGGGTCTTGGTTTTTTGGCTTCTTCGCCACTAGGAGGCATACACTCCGGTGGCCGTGGCCTAATTAGCAAGAGAAAATTAGTTCAAAGATGTAATGAAAACATATCATACAATAAGGAAGAAAATAATATAACGCATTGTACCTTGAAGTGGAAGGGGCATCCGTTTGCGTTTGTGTTTGTGGGTCTTCAAAGGAGGGGTTATTATGGTGCTCTCTTACACTCTCATCAGCAATCTCTGCAGCTTTGGCACTTTCGGGGTTGTAACCAGGTGGACGAACATACATAAAGCTAACAGCTTTCATCATCTCAATCTACACATCAACTCAGGCAATGGGAACGGGTCCTTTCGGAGTTGGAATAATAAGTAATAAATTAAATAAATAAAGAGAATAACCAAATGTTTTCGAAAAAAAATTGAAGAAGAAGAAGTTTTAGCACCTTTTCCTTGTCTTTCTTGGAGACGAGAGCGGTCTGGCGAAAGAATTCCTGCTCTTGGGCATACTGCACAAATGATAAGAAAGAGAGAGAACTGACATTACTAACAGAAAAAAAAAATTGCGATGAAGGGGAAGCATGAAAATTGAGATGATGGGATGCGAAGGGAGAGGGGGCGGTGGGGACGTGCCTCGCGGGAGACCTCCTCGGTGCGACGCTGGTGCTGGGCCTGGATCTGCTCTGCAATCCACTTGCGGCGTTGGTTGGGGTAAGAGAGAGGGTGCCATGGCTTCTGGTTGAGGTAGGAGTGGCTCCAGGCCGTGCCTGACTTGGTCTTGTAATCAACCTCCCCTCCTTTGTCCGAAAATCTCTTGCTCAGCCTTATCCCTCCCTCTTCTTCACCTTCCATCCTTTTTCTTTTCTTTTCTTCTTTTATTTTTGTTCGTATTTTTCAATAGAATGTGGTCTTCTTCCCCTCTGAAACAAACCAGGGCTACTTGGTAGGGGTAGGTACTTGAGGTACTCCGTGCTCGCTCAGTGGAAATTGGAATAGTGGGCTTTAAGACTTGGCCCATTCTCTGTGCTGCCTCAGGTGGATTCCGCATATTGGGCTTTATTACTTGGCTGGCCATTGTCTGGGCTTTTAAATTTTGCACTATGACTACTTGGGTTTTTAAATTCAAATCATCTTCATTAATAAAGTTGAAGGAGTTTTTTTTTTTTTTTTTTTTGGTCAAATAAAGTTTAGGGAGTTAAGTGAAACAAAATAAATTTGGGAGTTTCACTAATATAGGGGTCCAAATTATAAAGAGGCTTTGAGGCTGTGCTTGTTTTAAGAAAATTGATGGCAGTTTTGTAAATTCTAGGAAGTTCAAAGCCTCTTTGTTATGTTGTAAATGGGACTTTGGTATGTTTCATACATAAAATGAACTTTAGAAACACACCCAAGCATCTACTAGGGTTAATTATTAAGTTGGATGACCTTTTTTATCTTTTTACAGAATAATAAAACTTACAGCTTAATGATTTAAGTATTTGAATGAACAAAGAGAAGTGCGGGGTTTAAATAGAAAATCTCAAATTAAATGATATAATGCTAATTTATAATTGCTCAATAAATTTCAAAGATAAGATTATCCAAAATAACATGTAGATATAAAGTGTGGGGGGTTGTGGTGGGAGGGAGAGACCTTGGCTATAAGGTAGTACATTCCATTTAATTAACACCCCAAAAAAATAAAAATCACTTTCTTTATACTCCAACGAAAACCACAAGTGTACAGCCTATCAAGAGACAAGATAGTACGTGAGTTTCTTGTCCTTCTCTACTGCTTCAGGTGATAATTTATGGCGTGGATTTTCCACTATGCCAAAGTAGGAAATGAAATGACATTCGTTTGTGGATGCTATAATTCATTCTTTTTTTGCATGCTGCTCCTCCACCCAACTTCAGTTTTCTTCTGTGGATTTACACCGTGTACTGTATTCAGAATGTACAAATATTTCTCGTGGTGTGGTGTGGGCCTCTTCTTTTCTTTCACTGTTTTGTTTATTTCAAACGAATTTCAAGGCATATATACTGGAACAAAGAACTCCTATCCTTTCTATTAAATATTAATGAAGCCAGGGACAAATTCATGATTTATTTGAAACACATGGTTTGACTTCATTTACCTTACGTACGTTCTGAAAAATATTCTTATGTACAAACCTATTAAGAATAGAAAATCCGACTTAAGGCTGTTAAAAACTTCTAGTCCTACAATATAATGAGTTCCAAATTGTGTTTTCCTACCCCAAAATAAACCCATATGTAAGATCGTGAAGAAAAAAAGTTCAAACAAATTACATGCATTAATCTCATTCATTGCCTTGCACACAGAGGCATCAGGTATAATGTCAACCATCAATTTTATATTCTCTCCTAAGCTGACATCAATTTCACCATTAGATGATGTAACCATATTGAAGGAGACAAATTTGCAATACTCGTTATATAGAAAAGGAATAGATCAACAAAATGTTGTCTGAAACAAACGGGTAAGAATATGGGTATTGAAAATAATAAAAAATTTGGGTTATTGACCGTAACGGTATCCTAACTTACTAAAATTTTCATTTCAATAGTCATCCAATTATCCATTTAGTATCAAATTGGTCCTACCTTCAAAGTTAGTTTTGCCATTAAATTTAGGGGTAAGATCGTCTATATAGAAAAAACACTAATAAAAGTTTAATTAAAAAAATGACTCGCAAGTATTTGTGTTGCCAAACACTTTTTCAAGAAAATAATTAAGTAAATGGACGAATTAAAAAAATAATGAAAATGATTAAACGGTTTCATAGTTGATTGATATATTGGAGAGCATATATATGTTCCTTCCTTTTATCATCATGTATATATACGAGCAGCATATAGTCAATGTAATCTAAAATTAGAAAGTTCAAGTTAGGAATATCGATCTAAAGATCTGGTACAATAATATTGTATATCCAACTGATCAGGACGAACTCAGAAGGATATATTTATATATATCAAGGTTGGCTCATAATTTTCACCACATGATGATTTTCCCGCTAATAAATTTAACTAAACCCCGATCGACTGTAATGACTTTTCATAGATGATCGATCGGTTGAAGAAAAGGAGAAAACTCTTCAGATGGATCGAGACTGATGTGCAGCTGTAAGTAGCTAGGTACTAGCTAGCTTGATTATAATTAGCAGAGGAGGAGGAGGACAAAGACGTGGACATGGACGACGTATGATATGCATCAAAAAGGAAGGAAGGAAGGAAGAAAGAAAGGAACGATATGAACGATGATGATATGATGAAGGAAGTGAATTCATGAGTTACCTCAAGCGCACTCGATGGAGTGCAATATAAGCAAGAAGGCGGTAACCCAGTAGCATTAAGGCGAGAATGGAGACATCTATCCACAAGTGGTTGAGGCCACCCATTGATTTGACGGCAGGCAAATCTCCAACACGGCAGAGGACTCCTTTGGAGCACTCATAATAGTCATCCTCGTCGTACTGAACCCCAAGAAGAAGCTTGTAACAGTAGTAGCTGTAGCTCAAGTACTTTAACCAGACAATGAAGGCAGGAATCTGTTGAATATAGTACCCGCCGGCGATGAGGAAAACAAGTGTTGTAACAGATGCCAAAGTAGTGGCTTGCTTTATGTCCATCAGAATGGCTCCAATGGCTAAGCCAAGACTCTGGGACACAAGGACGTTGTAAAGAACCACCAGTAGGGAGAGGATGAAAGTGAAGGGATCAGGTTTAAGCCCTCCCATCCAATAAATTATTACCACAAATGCTGTTGGGAGTGCCAGCTCCAGTGGCAGGTCTCCAACTGTTCTTGCTAGGAAGTAGGACGAAAGCCGGTACATTCCTGATGATCGTTCTTTTATCAGCATTCTTCTTTCCTGGGGAAATGTGAAAACTGCATTGTAAAGTGGGTAGAACCCCCAGAACACGGAGAAGAAGAAGAGCAAAGCAATCTGCAAATTTACCAAATATCAATTTTATTAATTCATTTTATTATTGTTAAAACTAAATTAAATAAATAATACATATTAATTAATTCTTTTCTTTTCTTACACGGTCTTCAATGTGAGACGTGGGTGTGCGCCACCAGAGGAGTCCACCAAGCGTGGCTACACTTATTACTTGGAAAATTCTTAGCCTGTTGAATGCTTCGTACCTTCGCTCTCTCAGCCCCCTCTGAAGCAGCACCTTGAACTGCTGCCACCAGCTTGTGCACCAATGTTGCTCTGTACCTTGTCCTGCACTACACCACTAGTATTAGCATTTGCAAGATGTAGCAATTAATTAGTGGGAATATCGAAGGAAAATGAGAGAGAAAGAGAGAGAGAGAGAGAGAGAGGATATGTTTACTTGCAGAAGCATCTTTCATGTAATTATTGCAGTTGTTGACCTCCAAACCAGAACACAACTCAGCTTTCAACTTTGCGCAAATATTCTTATCGTAGGCGGAAATGAGAGCTTTTCTCACGGTCTTCTGATCCTGTTCCATGTTCTCGCGTTGCTCAGATGCATGTTTTGAATCAGGGGCGATTCCTGTACGTACGTGAGTATAATTCAAACAATCAGGGGCGTATGTATGTATGTATGTATGTATGTATGTATATATGTATATGTATCCATGTAGATACGTACAAGACTTAAAGACAGACGTAACAGTAACGTACGTACCGTTTGCAAGATCTAGCAAAAGATCTGCCGGATTGAGACTAGGCAAGGACGTGGAAAAACCAATGGAAGAAAAATAATCTAGGGCTGCGGAAGCAGGGCCATAATAAATGGGGGAGCCCTCGGAAAGCAAGACGAGCTTATCAAACATGTGGTAGATGCGGCTGGAGGGCTGATGAATGGTGGTGACGAGGGTTCGACCCCCACTGGCCAGCCTTTTGAGTGTGGTCAGGATTCGCTGAGCTGTAGTGGAGTCCAAGCCTGAGGTGGGCTCATCTAGCAAAAGTAAGCTTGGGTTGATTAGCATCTCTTGACCTATACTCACCCTTTTCTTCTCTCCACCTGATATCCCTCTGAACAGTGGGCCCCCAATCATGCTGCTCCGGCACCCACTCAATCCCAACTCACTGATCACGTGCTCCACGTGCTGCACTTTCTCATCCCTGCTCAGGCTCCTCGGCAGCCTCAGCAGAGCCGTGAACACCAGAGTCTCGGTTACAGTGAGATGCGGGTATAAGACGTCGTCCTGGGCAACAAACCCCGTTCTTCGTTTGATGCTTCCGCAAAATGGCTGACCGTTGTACGTGATCTTTCCTGACATAAACTTGCAATTATTCTGATGATTGAGGCGCCCTCCCAGAGCTGTAAGAAGGGTGGTTTTCCCACTCCCAGATGGGCCTAGCATCGCCAGTATCTCTCCTGGGCAGACCGTACCTGTTATCCCACTCAGTATACTTTTTTCTATACTAGTAGTATTTGTGCCCCACCATCCTCCTCCTTTCTGCTCCATTTTTACTTTGTAAAACACCTCCTCAAACTGCAATTTATCAAATTTATTATTATTAGCTCTTCTTCAATATTCATAATTAATTCTACTATATATATATATATAGCACACACATGCATAATTCTACTATATGCTCATTTCATTTACTAATGAATTAAATTATAGATCATCATGTTCATGACCAGAAATTAAATTTATTAATTAATTATTAAGCTCGCTACAACTATAATTAATTATAGCTCAACCGGAGACCATGATGATCAGATCTACACAGAGAGAGAGAGAGAGAGAGAGAGAGAGAGACCTTCAAAGTTATGGGGTACATGGTGAGTTGTAGGAAAGATTGTGAGTTAACTTGGGCGGCGGCAGCCGGGTAGGCAACCACAGCCTTGCTATGGGTTTCAGACATCTCCCGCCTGCCTTCCACAGTAGCACTGTCACTGCCGCCATATTCTGCTGGTTTTGGCACTATGCTGCTGAGAGACATGGCAAATCTGAAAGAAAACAAAACAAAATCTCGCTCCCTTTTTGGAGTTTTTGGTTGCGTGCGTTAGTGAGGTTGGGAGAAGTACTTGAGTTGGCTTAATTTAACTTGGCGTCCCAACCCAAAGTGAAGTGACCTAGGAGCTCATAAATATATAGCCAATTATATATGGATGGAGATACATACATATATATATATATATATATATAAACGATCGAGTCGAGGATATCCTCTCCTGACTTCTCTGTGTGCACTCCTATGGTGATGGTGATGGTGATGTAGGCCTAAGCTTAGCCTCCATTCCATGTGGTGATGGTGGGATCCCACCTTTTATCATACTTATATTCTAACACTAACTATTAACCATTATAAATCTTTATACTGATAGCTAGATAAGATATAGTCTCATTTTACCGGAATCTTTTCTGTCTTTTCTTGATTAATATTATGGGACGTAGATTAAGAAAAAAATTATACACATATGATAATTTATAACGTACATAAAACACCCAACACCACTTTATGACAATTGGGAAAGATGAGATATATGCTAATATGCTATACTCTTTCTTAACAATCATTTAATTTCAAAGCCCCTTATATTAAAATATGAATCGGTTAATGACTTGTGTTCAATTTTCATTCTCTAATATCGTGTGCATCAATGAAGAAGAAAGAAACATCACAATCATAAACGATACTATGTCTAGAAAAGGCTTCCAACTCTTACAAATTCAATAACAATTGAAATATTTTAACTTTTCAGAAGGAATAGGAATAATAACCTTTCAATTCTCGCTTAGTTGTTCTATAGTACTTACTTTGGTTTCTATTTCTTGGGGTCAAAGGAAAAGTGACGAATGACAATCCACGATTACATTTTGCATTTTCTTCTTTTGATTTGAGCTATGGATGGTATGGCATGCGATTCACTGCGTACATTCTCATTGATGGAGCATAAGAAATCCATGCCTCTACAGTCTACTGATCATGGAATTTACTTTTCTCTAGCTAAGAGCAAGAATAAGTTCAAAAGTAAAAGCTGGGAGAGGAAAAAAGAAGAGTTATGGGATTACGAGAGAAAGCAATGGTGAATTGAACTGCTGCCCTAAAGAATTTTTAAGTAAACTAAAAGTGAAAGTAATGGTGTGCTTTTCCTTGTAAAGCCGACTGATTCTTATATTCCCTTCCTTTAAATATACAGTAATTGATTTTGGACTGTAGTTTTCAACATTCGTATCGCCGAAATTCGATATGACTTTTGTATTTTATGATTGCATATGTATTAATTAACTAATATATCACTAATATTCATTTTAAAAGTGAGATGCGAAACAAAGTCTTCTTCCCTATGCTCTCTCTCTCTCTCTCTCTCTCTCTCTCTCTCTCTCTGGGACACTTTCGTTTTGCTGGTTACTCGATTTTAAACTTGAGCTGAATAACTGAAAAGAATGATTAAAGGACGAACCCATCAATCATATTCCAATTTGTGTCCATAAAAATAATAAATAAATAAATAAATAAATTCTAATGGCAGAGCACTGAGACTGGTCTGAGAGAGATAAGAGTAAATGGGTCCTGCGTGGTGGAGTGGAGCCTACCCTTTTTGGTTTCTGAGACTTGGAAGTCTTTGGTTACTGGCCGCTGGGTGGCGCGCGCATCATACTTTAGTGCATTCTCTTTCTCTCCCAACTTGTGTCTGAATATCCATTTAAAATTTCATTATAAAAATGTATGTCGATATGACCATGAGATATGGAGTTTTTATTCCACTCGAGCTTGCTCTTGCCTTTTGATATATTTATTCATTACTTACTAATTCCATTATATCTATCTATGTTCTATAAATATATATATCATTGATTCTCTCTTCTTTACTTTAAAATATACCTACGCTACACAAATTAAACTGCAATTTCTTGACAAAAATCACACTTAAACTAACAAATTGTTACACCATTGATCCCTCCTTCAGTCAATTTATCAAGTTTCTTTTGCTCATTCAAACTATCAAATCAAGCACTTTTTTTTTAGTGGCACTTGGTCAACTCCTTCTTTGCTTACATGGACACCAGATTGAATTTAACTTGTGCTTTTAAGTAATTTCATATAAGAATAAATTCCCCACATACTATGCATGTGCAAAAAGAAGTTATTTGTGGGGGAAACTTACAAAAAAAGATAAATGTGGAAGATGGAAAGTGGCCAAGTTAGAATTACTATAGCACCCTCAATTATTAAAAAAAATATTAAACTCATTTAATATGAAAGGGACAAAATGGTCATTTTATCATATGTGGTTAACAAAGAGGGTTCTCTTAATAATAGTACAGATATCTAAATTGAAAAAAATTTATACTAACTTTTTTTTGGGTAAATAATTTATAAAATTATCGTAAATATTGTTTAAGTATATATCTCATTTTCCCAAATAATTAACTAGGTAATAATTAAGCTATAATGTGTCATGTTTTTCTTTTAGTACAAGTACTAGTCTAAACTACATGGGAGAGGGGTTTTTCACTCACACACACTATTATGATGTCCTAGATGTTTGAACCTGAGACCACTAGTCTGCAAGTTAAGGCCCTTTTTTATATTGAGCTAGACCATATTGGCATAATGTGTAATGTTTATAGGTTACATGAATAGTTCAGAGCTTTTATGGTCAAGATGTGCATAATCCTACCCATCTTCTTTGTGAGAGATTTTTCTAATGTACTTCATAAATTTCAAGAACAATCACATGTTGATAAGGTGAATCCGTATGAGACTCGGAGATGTTCACACATGAAGGCTTCCATAAGCTCAATGGTGATGGAGCTATTGACAATACTACAAGTTTGAGTAGTGGTTTGAAACGATAATGGAGTTTTAATGGGTGAACGTATCTATACAAAGCAATTGTAGTGTTTTCATTTTAGCTACATAATTGCATGCGCTTTATATGTAGATGCTGATTTTTTCCCTCTCTTTATAGAAAATGATTCTTATGAGGCAGTCATGATAATTAATTTGGGGGAGACTATTTGGGTTGTTGTGGGCAACATTATGGATGATGTGAAAGATTTGCTTATGCATTTTTCTTTAAAGGAAGTCCAATATCCACCTGGGGAGTGTAACACAAAGACTCATGTTTTTACCTATTTTTCTTTACACAAATAATGTTATAATTATTAGTTAGAAAAAGGCCCAGAGTAGCTAATGAATTGTATTATTGATGTCCTCTTTGGTTAATGAAATTTACTTATTTTCGAAATGTTTTTTTTTTAAAAAAAAGTTACATGAATAGTTATAATGTGATATAGTAATCACAAGAAACATTCCATTTTCTCAAAATATGTGATGCTTCTATTAATTGAATTATTAGGGCTATGGTAGATATGGGCTTAGCCAAGTTGGTTAGAGCAGATGTGTTCCTCATTCTGTAGCCAAGTTCGAATCCCCCTCCTTATAGTTTAGATTAAATTAAAATAAAATATTATTTATATAGGAAAAAAAAAATTATTAGAACTATGCATATTGGAAGTTACTGCATATATAAATAGAGGTATAAAAAAGTGAGAAAAAAAAAGTGGGGTATTTGACAAGTTGTGGGAGGTATTATTTATCATATTACCTTTAACTTCTGAATTTACTTTACTAAAAAATGAAAGGACAAATTACTGACATTTTATATATTGTGGTTGACAGAAAGAGCATATGAAAGCATAAAGATAAGAATCAAATGGGTGTTAGTTGAATTAGTTCATACTTTTCGTGAACTCTCAAATAGGGCTGTCAATGGGTCGTGTCGTGTCGGGTTCGTGTCGTGTCAAACTTTTAAACGTGTCAAGAAACCCCAACCCAAACACGACCCATTTATTAATCGTGTCAGGAAATGCAAACCCAAACCCAACCTGTTTATAAACAGGTTGACACGACACGACCCATTTGTAACCCGTTTATTAAACAGGTCGTGTCATGGGTCGTGTAAACCCGTTTACTACCTGCCAACCCGCGAAAAAAATTAAAGAAATTGAACCTTCAGCACACCCAATGTGTTTTGAACCCCAACCAATTCCACCCCACTCCTTGCTCCTTATCCATCTTGGTGTTGATAACTTTGTGATTATATGTTACAACATTTGATATTTATAAATTTTCGTCTCGTGTGCTTTAGCAATGCAGTTCGGGAATCTACACGTGGCCTGCAATCCCAGTTAATAATGGGGTGGGGCTTTTTTGGCGTTGCTTGTATAATATTTTTTCCGGTCGAAAAAAGCTTGCATAATGGTTACACATGCGAATGCGATCCCTACGACATCGTTCAAATCATTTGGTGGAAGACTCGTAGTGGTCCCGCCAACTCATGGCATTATCCGTTCAGTCTCAGTGCTCCCTCTCAATATTTTTAAGAATGATTCTAGCTTCCGACGAAGAAAAAAAATGGAATGATTTCTAGCTCCTCAACTTTCTACCAAAATGACACATTTTTTTACGTTCCCTTATTTCCCAAAAGTAAAAAAGGCCGCTGTGTATGCGAGCATCAATGAGCCAATATTATATATATATATATATAATGTTCCACTGCATCGTTTTCATATTAACTTAATGCTAATATTTGGATCTAAAATTTGGATAGATATGTTAACCAAATGTGAAAGGACTAGTACCACTAGAAGAACTAGTCACTGATGATTAGTAAAGAAAGTTATAGGCAGGCATGAGAGCAGCAGGCACTACATACACATGAATAAAATAAACACAGAAAATGATGGTTGAATTAATTAATTGTCACATATACAAGTAAGTAGTCCACAGCACACACGCGTGGAGTGGAATGGAGGTAAGTGTTTGTTTGTGTCATTATCATATAGTAATATTATATAATGGGATGAGATGTGTGTCGTACTGGGCATAATCAGCTTAGTGGTGTGGGAAGATCACTTTCTTTTAATGTTTACTTTGGTGGAGATAAGATGATCCACTTCCGTTCAAGTATAAAAACTTGTATAAAACGGGGAATAGTATGGTCAATCATGAACTGTCATATAGAAAAGTTATCATATCACAATTGGTCAGAAATAACAAAATAATGTTATTCTCATTTTATGTAAGTGTTTCTCCTAGCCAAGCCAACAGATTCCGGCCTTAATAACTCTCACATGCATATAATTTTCGTTATCTT